AACATTTTAGATGCTATCAGAGAGGATAAATCTTCGACCGACTCCTGATTAATGGTATCCCACTGTTCTGGTTCCACTCGACTCCTGGTCAGCGCACCTTAATGGTCTATGGTATTGTGTTTCGGTGGTTTGCGAATGTTAACACGACATAACATGAATGACTTCAAAACAAGCCTTGTGAATTTTACTCGAATAAATGGCAGGCAGCTGGAGTTTTGACATGGAAGGTTGTCCGTCTGCTCCAAGTTCCATTTTTGTTAAATACATACAAGAATCCGACTTCATAATTACACGGAGGATGTCCGGAGACTTTCACCGATAAATAGAAACGTTGCATCTTGTCACTTGCTCACCTGGTTTGAGACGAAGTGGTGATAGGCCAAATCTGCTTTGTGTTGGACAGACATAGTACAAAGTTGGGAAGTGCATTTTTTTTTACTCTTATACATAAAACTTGCATGTACTCACGTTCCCATAGTAGTTCGAATCTACTTTATGTTAATTACATTCGAAGCTTCCGTATAGTGTCCATATTCACTTATCGCGATTTGTCATTATCCACAACCTCCCAATAGTATTGACAGCGTTTGCTACATATGTGCATCGTCAAATCACTCCACCTTAAATTGAGACAAATAACTCTACTCCTCGCTCTTGTATTTTACCTTCTAATCATTAATACCAATGAACAAGTGGTTTACGGTAAGATACCTCTGAAACGAGCAGTTTTCAACGAGGATACGATCAAGGCCGTGTAATATTTGTAAGCAAAGGCGTAGGTCAAAAGGTTGGTATTGGTCGTTGTGGTGTCATTGTATGGTGGAGTGACTTGAAATGGAGTGTAGATCGCAACGTAAATGATCCCGGTTTAGTTCTGTACAGTAAGAGGTGTTTTCACATAACATGAGAATGATGAATGAACTGAACATAGTGGTTTGATGGTGTTATGAGGAACGGCGTTGAATTGGTTTGTTCGTAGGGTTTGTAGTGCTCATTTCTTTGCTTTCTCTTTTTCATTGATAAGAAGCACTAGTTTTAGTGTGGAATATGCTTTTTGAATCTCTTTTACAGATTGGTATAAGAAATACAAAACTAGTTATTGGAGGAAGAAAATTAGCTAACCGTAGTGCTCAAACTAGGAGGATCCTATTATCCGGTTATCTTTATATTTCAAAAACCTCGTCTTACGTGTGTAGTATGTTAGCAACGCTGTTTGAATCTGGCAAAGGGGAAATTCACTAACTTTGTATAAGAGTTGGTTTAGGCTGTGTATTTCCCATTTCCAACGCAGTCGAGCGACACGAATCCTTTTTAAGAAGTAAATGCTGTTTCTGAACATTTCAGAAAGCATCTGCTATACAAGTATGAGGTACATATCAGCTTATATGTTGGCAACGATGGGAGCCAAGCATCATGTAACAGCGAATGATATCGAAAATATTCTCGGGTCGGTGGGTGTCGATTGTGAACATGATAAAGCCGAAGAAGTTATTAAGAAAATGAGAGGAAAAACGTTGGATGAACTGATAATTGAAGGATCAAAATGCCTCACATCAGTATCAGCAGCTGCACCATGTATCGGTATCACTGTTGTTGATAATTATTATTAATAACTTATGTTCTTTTGGTTTCGATTGTGTGTTTCTTAGTCGGAAAAATAGCTACTCCACTTTCCCTTGAAAACTTCGTAAAGAGAGATTTGATGAAGCTCCCTCAAAATTCTCTGTTAAAAAAGAGCACAGATATCCATGAATAAGTATGGAATCCAGTTTAGTGTACCAACCTCTGTGCGGGCTGGAAAAGGATTTACTACTTATAAAATCATGGTCGATGTTTATTACGAAACTTCTAGATTCGTAGTATATTTTGAGCAGACAGTAAAGTGGAAAGATCTTCAAACACCCGGTTTTTTCAACTGATTCCTTTTTTTTCGGCATCCTCTAATTTCTTCTAAATAATTTGAATCAGAATTGAGAGACTTAGTACAGTGTCGTTTTCTTTAATGAGTTGCTGAAATTAAGTAATTGGATTTTCAATAGCATTTCATTTTTGTAGGTTCAAATAGTATTGTATTTTGTTCTTCATTGGTATTGTTTTATCAGGTGGTACACCCGTTGCTACTACTGCTACTTCCCTCACAGATAAAAATGCTGTCACAGCTTTACCAGTGGCGAAAGAGGAAAAGAAGGAGAAAGAGGAAGAGTCGGATGAAGATATGGGCTTCGGGCTTTTCGATTGATACTTTTCGTTATCCTTATCTTGTTTTTTTAAAAAATTGTCATTTTATGAAGGAAAGAACATTAAGAACTATTTCTTTGGCTTACAACAAAACAATATATTTAAGAATTTTAACAATTATACATGTTTCGCTGGAATTGTGGTGTTAGTATCCCATGTTACTGGATTCGTATTTTATTTTTCTGAATGCAGTTTATTGATTTTATTAATCCCCATGCACAATTAAAGCTTTTGGGAGGAGAAAAGGTAGTCAGTATGCTTCATAATGCTTGTAATTTAAGGAGACGGCGCTATTTTATTTTTTTGGTATGGCTAAGTTGGGTTCAAATGAACTGCAGGGAAACTCATTCTGGTTGGGTGGTGTTGGATGAAGTCCAATTTGAACTTGGAGTCGAAAATATGAAGTGAACAAACGACGAGAATGCGGTGCAAAGGGAAATGCTTATTAGACCAACGATACATTTTAAAGCCGGGGACAGACGCTGGTACTTCGGTAATTCCCGTCGTAGTATACTTGATTAATAATAGTTCAAGTTATGTGTCCCAAGTTAATTTTGAGAACTCTGGATCTCAAATTTAAGAAATTTTCCCGGCGAATGTCGAAAGCCGTCTTTAAATTGCTCTATAACCGAAGTAATAATGCTCACGTGGTCGGTTATTTTGAACTATATGGATATGTAAATTCTTGTTTCATGTCCGATTGCTTCTGACTAACATTCTAATCAAACACCAATAGTGATGTGTGGTGAGGGTGTAGTGTTGATAGTGATAGTATTGTGGTTTAAGGGGTTCTTGTATTATTCACGTCGCTTTGTTAATCTGTTGGTTCCTTGCTTCATTTGAAGGAATGGCTAAGAAATATGGAGTCTACTTATTCCAGTCTACTGGAATAAGGATGTGGTACTCGCTATGTTAAACTGCGGCAGCGGTCCCTGATACGATTAGCAATGTCGGCGAGAAAGCAGTGAAGGGTGGAAGGAAAAAGAAGACACTTGGGAGGGAGTTAGCAGTTAGCAGGATCGTCGTCATCTCTCAAGAGAGAAGCGTCGTTTGTTAATAAGGGGTGGGAGGAGCGGAGGGCTGGCCTTGGCTACTTGGCTAGTGCTTGTGCTGCAGCCGTCGCTCTGGTTGAAAGGAGAAGAATGCTGAATGAGAAAAGAGGTGTGAATGAGTGGCTAGCTATAGTCCTGGATAGCATAGATAGCTAGCTAGCTAGCTAGCAGCAAGCTTGGCACGAGGTAAGAACACAAGCCTATAGCACAACAACGATAACATCAGCTGAAGCAAAACGGACGAGAAGGGCGCTGCTGTTACTTCAGCGTACTTTCAGGGATATAGACATGCCACCCCACCGAGTGCAGTGGAATCGAGTTCTTACGAGTTGGTGTGCAGAGCTCATCTTGCTAGCTTTATGCTAGAAGCGCTGCTGCCACTACAACTACTGCTGCTGCGGTCTCGGTTGTTACTACTACTGATCGTGCTGTCCCCTCAGAAATCAATAGACAAGTGGGAGAGTTTGCGTTACATTGTCGGGTAGCTCGCTGGGGAAGAAACTGTTCCTCAAGAACAAATGAACTAGCCCCTTCTACATGTCGGGTAAGAGTATCTGTTTTAACTAATATTACCGCCTATTTCATTATTTTCTTACACGTAACATTACACACCTTCACTGGTACCAATACTAAGACCGCTGTCACTAATTTCACCTCTCAATACTCGCACATGCAACGAAATAGAAAAATGCGCCTTAATTTGCTCATTCTATGTTAGTGGGTATGTTAGTTAGCCAATCTGGATAGTTCACTTTGCACCTAAATCCCAACTGCTGCTAATCTACCGATTCATCTCTACCTATTTTACACTTTCATTTTCTAAATTACATAAAAAAAGGATCTGTTGAAAATCCATATATCTTGAAAATCCTTTATTTCCTGCGTGATCCGCGGTGAGATAAATATAACAAGTATAACAAGTCCTTCTCAAACATTCTACTGTTATCCAGTAATAGATCGGAATCTGTGCGGCTTCAAATCATTTCTTGATTCGGTATTTTAGGATTTGCTAAATAATCCAAACTTTTAGTCAACATTTGCTTTCTTATTCATCTACTCATAAATCAAGCTTCTTGAGATTATCGCTGAAAGTTCAATTGGCGGATTGTTTTTTACTTCATTAAAAAGTGGCTTTGTGTATTCTGAGTTTTGAATTTCTGTTTGTAAATATATTCTGATTTGTTTTGCCGAAATTTCTAGACATGGATATTTCCAGATTTCAATTATCCTTGATTGTTCTGAGTTTGTACTGCTAAAATTCAGAATTTTGCTACTCATGGGATATGGCGGCAAAAATTAGGAGATGAGGATCACCATCAGTATGTATTTATCTCCTAGCCATTTCAAATCATCATCGAGATACAGAATCATCTGATTTCTAGTTTTATCAACAAATCAAGTGCCTCTGTTGCATGAGCAGGAAACTGTGTGATTAATCCTTTGTCAGGTATCCATCGGTATCAGTATTACTACTTCTATATAACTGGAATACGATAAATCATAGACTGACTCTTATATTATATATATGTACAACAGAAGCATCTGATCTGTTGATAAAGCTAGGAATCAGGTGACTCTGTATCTCGATGATGATTTGGAATATATATATATATATATATATATATATATATATATATATAATAACTATACTTATTATATATATATATATATATATATATATATA